TCCACAATTCCTGCTCCTGGGCAGGCTCCTGTGCTAACAGCCTTGTTGCACCATCTCTTTTAATCTTCACCACAACCCTTTTAGATAAATGCTATCACCGGTCCCATGTCATCATAAGGAAACAGGCACAGAGAGGGGAAGTAACTTGCTTAAGGTCACACAGTTATTACGGAGAGTTTGTTGGTTTTTTATTGTGGTAAAATATATGGAACATACAGTTCACACTGTAACCATTTCTAAACGTGCAGTTCAGCACAATTAAGTACATTCACATTGCCATGCAGCCATCACCACCCTCCGTCTCCAGGTTTCTCATCTTAGCTTAAAACTCTGTACCCATTAAACACTGACTCCCCATTTCCCTCTCCACCCAGCCGCTGGAAACCACCATTTTACTTTCTGTCTGTGAGTCTGACTCTTCTGGGTTTCTCCTGGAAGTGGAATCACACAGTGTTTGTCCTTTTGTGACTGGCTTATTTCACTTAGCACCGTGTCCTCAAGGTTCACCCATGTCTTGGCATGTGTCAGAATGCCCTTCCTTCTTAAGGCTGAGTAATGTATGTGTACACCACGTGGTGTTTATCCATTCGTCCATCATTGACAGCTAGGTACTTCCACCTTTTGGCGATTGTGAGTAATGCTGCTGTGAACATGGGTGGACAAACCCTGTGTTCGAGCCTCTGGTTTCAGTTCTTTGGGGTATGCACCCAGGAGTATAAACCTAGACTTGTCTGACTCCAAAGCACAGGTTCTTAACTTTACGTTTACTGCGTGGCCTAAAAAATTGTTTTAAATATTTGCAATGATCCTTGATATTAAAAAAAAGATTTTCTGATCGGTCATCAGTAAATCAGAAGTACAGCCAGCCTACTTACTTCATACATGCACAATGCACACACACACACACACGCACACACACACACACACGCATACAGCACTGGGTGTTTTGGTTAAGTGACAGTTTTACCAAAATCTGGTTTCTCAGGACACAGGCTTAAAAAAAAAATCTTAAACTGATTACTTTGCAGAAAAGCATCCAGAAAGACTCTCTCTACCCAGAAAGAGAGCCTGATCAGTCTGTGGTCCTCTGTCCACCCCCAGCCAGGGACACACATGCCCTGTGAACCCCACATCACACGTGGCTTTGCCGTGGCCCATCGCCTTGGTGGTAAGGCCTGAATTCCACGGTTCTGTTTTAATCTCCATGCTCCTTGGCAGGCAGCCTCGGCCGCTATCTCGTTATTTAGTAATGCAGCCCCGGGCAACATGAGCCCCGGCTGGGCGCACGTTTGTGCCAGGCTGAGAACAGTGGCGGCAGAGAACTGTCTCTTTCATTTAGGTTCCTTTGCGGCCAGAGCTTTGCCATTTACAGACACCGGCCTCGGCCTCCCAGGCCACATCCTAGAGCCCTGATGGAGAACCTATGACACGCGTGTCAGAGGTGACACGCGAACTCATTTTTTTGGTTGATTTTTCTTTGTTAAATGGCATTTAAATATATAAAATAAATATCAAAAATATAAATCTTCGTTTTACTATGGTTGCAAATATCAAAAAATTTCTATATGTGACAGGCACCAGAGTTAAGTCAGGGTTTTTCAAAATGCTGACACGCCGAGCTCAAAAGGTTCGCCATCACTGCCCTAGAGTGTTTCCAATGCAGACGCCCGTCCTTCCTGGAACACGGGCATGGAGGCCTGGGCAGTGCCCGCGCCCCTGCCCTGCTCCCCTGCGCTGTGGACACTGCAGCCCCCGCCAACGACCACATGCCGTGTGGCTTCTATTACTGACGGATCGTGCTGCAAACGGGGGCTGATTTAGTAAAAGAGAACAAAAGGAAGAAACCAGCACCAGTGTAGAACCACAGGAAATGCAGGCATTTAGTTGCTCACCACCACGTTCCAAGCGCCAGCAAGGCCATGGCAACGTTACCTCTATACTCCATGTAACTGGGACAGCTGTGGAGTTTTATACAAATGAGAAGCCCATTCCTTAAACGCTCGGCCTAGCCATCCTTTCTTAACCAGCAAAGCTGTCCCATCAGAGGCTCCGGAGCCAGCAAACCTTCTCCGTGAAGGGCCCAGTAAATATTTTCACACAAGCCATACGATTCCTTTTGTACCTACTTAACTCTGCCATTGCAGCGCAAAAGCAGCCACAGACCATATATAAATGAATGGGTGTGGCTGTGTTCCAATAAAACTTTATTAACAAAAACACGTAGCAGGCCTGTAGTTTGTCAACCATTGGTCTAGTGATTTCCAACCTGTATGCCCCAAGAATTTTTAAAACATGCAGGCATGGACCTCTTCTCCTTTAGATTGTCAAATAAAAAAAAAATGACAACAGCCAACACAGCAATAGCTGCCCAGTGTGAATAAATAAAAATTATACAAATTATACATATTTTTTGTCAGATCAGCAAAAAAAAATTTTTTTGGTGTGCCACAGAATTTCAGTAATTAGTTTATGTGTGCCATGAGATGAAAAGGTTAAAATCGCAGGTCTGGGAGATGAGAGTTTTGGTCCCAGTTCTGTTGGTAATTAGCTGTGTGGACTTGGACAAGTGTCTGATATACAGTCCCCAGTCATTCGGAGACCACAGAACTCCCTGGTGTGTCCGCATCCCAAATGCACCCTGAGTGTGGTTCCCTCCAGTCTACTCTCCTCGTTTTGTAGCTTGGGAAACTCAGGCCCAGAAAAGTGATTTGATTTGTACAAGATTGTACATGGTTTTTTGTATGTTTGCTCCAGCACTGTGGAAGAATTATTTTTTTGTGTGGTAACATTGGTTAATAACTTTATATAAGCTTCAAGTGTACAACATTTTTTATTTATTATTATTAATTCTTTTAATCCTCACCCAAGGATATTTTTCCATTGAGTTTTAGAAAGAGTGGAAGGGAGAGGGAAAGACAGAGAGAAACAATAATGTGAGAGAGACACATCAACGGGTTGCCTCCTGCACACACCCTGACCAGGGCCCAGGCCGGGGAGGAGCGTGCAACTGAGGTACGTACACTTGACCAGAATTGAACCCGGGACCCTTCGGCCCAGGACCCTTCAGCCTGCAGACCGACACTCTCTCCACTGAGCTAAATTGTACAACATTATAATTTGATATGTGTATACACTATAGGGTGCTCACTACCAATATTCTAGTTTCCATCCATCACCATACCCTCTCTCAACCTACTTCCCCTCTGGTAACCACCATTCTGTTGTCTGTAGCTATGGGCTTGTTTTTTATTTTTGTTTGTTTCTTTTTTGCTTTATATTCCATATATGAGTAAAACCATATGGCTTTTTTTCTTTTTTGTCCGACTTATTTCACTTAGCATAATAAAACCTTAAGGTTTATCTATGTTGCTGCAAATGGCAATGTTTCATCTTTTTTAGAGTATATATATATCCATCTTCTATATCCATTCATTTATCGATAGGCATTTAGGTTGTTCCTATGTCTTTACTATTGTAAATAGTGCTGCAATGAAGATAGAGGTGCATCTATCTTTTCAAATTAGTGTTTTTATATTTTTTGGATAAATACCCAGAAGTGTAATAGCTGGATCATAGGTAGTTCTAGTCTTAATTTTATGAGGAACCTCTGTGCTGACTTTCACAGTAGCTGCACCAATTTACAATATCACCAACAGTGTACAAGGGTTCCCTTTTCTCCACATCCTTTGCAATACTTGTTTCTTGTCCTTTTGATGATAGCCATTCTAACAGGTATGAGGTAGTACATTATTGTGGGTTTGATTTGCATTTTTCTAATAATCAGTAATGTTAAACACCTTTACTGTCCTTGTTTGCTGTCTATATGTCTTCCTTGGAAAAAATACCTATTCAGATCCTCTGCCCATTTTTTTAGTCAGGTTGTTTTGTTGTTGTCGATTTGGTTTCACATGGTCTTTATGTAGACAGTTGGGCTGTTGGCTCAGTGGATCGGCACATGATGTCAGCGAGTTCAAGGTTACAGGCCAGGTAGCTGAGCTGGGTTCTGTAGATACAGTCAACTCTTCTTACCACAACCTGGCCACTTTGTACACATGGGTCACCGATACAAGTTATTGAGAAGATGAAGAATTATAGTCTACATTTATCGTGACAACTGACAGTGAGTGACTACTGATGACAATCAGTGTTCTGGATGATCCACGTATTATCTCATTTAATCGCAACGACAGCTCACTAGGTACTACTTTGATCCCCATGTTATGGATAAGAATACTAAGGCACAGAGAGATTAAGTAACTTTTCCAACAGCAGATGGCTAGTGAGTGGCGAAGTCTGGACTGAAAACCCAGGCAGATTCCAGAGCCCCCTCCCTTAGCTGCTGTCCATCCTGCCTCCTCTGAGTGACAGTGACAGAGTCCTGCCATCAATCATATTCCATTGAATCCCGCCAACAGGTCTGTGTTGCAAGTGTCATGATTCCCATTTTGAAAATGAGGAACCCAAAGCCAGAGGCCAAGTGACCCAGCCCTGGTCACATATTCATAAGGTGGGGGAGCCCCAAATGGAACCCAGGTCTTCCAGCTCATCCCACCATCACCCGGTTGACACTGCCTCGTCGTCATCGCACCATGCCACACCTGACAACGTAAAGCGCATCTCTGGTCTAAAGGACAGAATATTCGAGCATTCAGAAGGATGACTCAGCATCTAAATAAAACAGCAGGATGTCATCTCAAGGAGCCCTTCCCAGCCAATTCCTGAGCCTCCAGTTCATTGCAATAAAGGGACCTGCAAGCTCTGACAACTGTAGAGCAGGGCTGAAGACAGACGCCGAGCCACACAGCCACATCTGCTTCTGCAGCTCGAACGTGCGTTCCTCCATCACGTGCTGTGAAGTTAAATACCCACCCTTACAGGCATCAGGCACAAGGCAGTGCGTCCTCATGGGTCAAGCACGACCTTAAGGGTTCAGTTCCTGGTCCTGACCTGGACACGTTGTATGAATTTTTGTGAGTGATTTGTGCTCTTATCTCCATTTCCTCATCCATAAATTGGAGATGGTAATGGTACCTGCCTCAGGGAAATTTGAAGATCAAATGGGATGATACCTGTGAAATGCCTAGCAAGGTGCCCAGCACATGTAAGCTCTCAATAAATGATTGCTGTGAGTTTCACTGCTCTGAGAGTTAACCATTCATTCACACATTCCTCAAACATTAAGTATCTGCCCTGGCCGGTTTGGCTCAGTGGATGGAGCACTGGCCTACGGACTCAAGGGTCCCAGGTTCGATTCTGGTCAAGGGCATGTACCCTGGTTGCGGGCACATCCCCAGTAGGAGGTGTGCACGAGGCAGCTGATCGATGTTTCTGGCTCTCTATCCCTCTCCCTTCCTCTCTGTAAAAAATCAATAAAATATATTTTTTTAAAAAAACATTAAGTGTCTGCCAAACGCCACGCCTTCTGCTTGGGCTTCTAACGGTGAGCCAGGTTGCCAAAGTCCCTCCCGTAGTGGTGTAGTCTATCAGGAACCACGTCTCTAGACCAGTGTCTCAAGCTCAGCGCTATTAAGGGTTCAGGCTGCACAATTCTTCGCTGTGGGACTGCCCATCGTGGGGATGTTCAGGAACATGGCTTTCACCCATTAGATGCCAGTGGTACACACACCATCACCAGCCCATTCGTGACAACCAAAAATAGCTCCAGGCCTTTCCCAATGTCTCCTGGGAAGCAAAAATCACCCCTGCCCTAAAGATATTGGGTAGGTAGGCAGTGCCCACTCATAGGATTGTTGTGAGAATTAAATGGGTTAATTCTTGTAACGACCTTAGAATTGTGTCTACAACTCCCTTCGCATGCCAGTGATCTATAGTGCTACGAAGAAACACAAAACCCAGTGGTTGAAACAGTGAGTGCTTATCTCGTATACAAGAGTTGCCTGCAAGGTCAGCTGACTGGTTGATCTTGGCTGGCTTTGCTGATCCTGGCTGGACCCTGTTGCTATCAGAAGTTTCAGCGGGGACAGCTGGGTTGACTCCACTCGGTCTCACTTGGTCACTCACCTCCAGACTGACTGGCTCGGGCTTGTTTTTGTGGCAGAGGCTGGGTTCTGAGAGAGAGAGAGAGCACCCTGCCACATGAATGTAGCTCAGAACTGGCGACTCTCCCTTCTACCGTGTTCTGTTGGCCTGAGCAGGTCACAAGTCCAAGAGACAGACTCTAGCCCTTAGATGGAGAAGCTACAAGGTCATGCCCCAAGAGTGTGACTATAGCCAAGGGCGGAGGAGCAGGGCCACTTTCACAGTCAGCCCACCGCGATAGGTGTCCGCCGTTGTTACCTAGGGAAGCCATCGGGTGCTCTCAGAACCATAACCATCTCCCGCTTCTTCTCCACTCCCCACAGTTCCTCGGAGTCACCGAGCTCTCCGCGTACTGTGAAGGCTACTTTCTCAAAAATATGATGGTCCTCATTGAGAACGAGGCGTTCAAGCAGCTCCTCTACGACAAGAATGGCGAAGGCACGGGCCAGGATGTGCTGCAGGACTTACAGAGGACGTTGGCCATCAGGATTCAGTCCATCCACTTGTCATCTTCCAAAGGCTCCGTCGTGTGAAGCGTCCAGTGCAGGGTCCGCTCCCCGGGACGTGCCAGTGCTCCTGCTGCACTGGCTCCACACAAACACACGTTTCATCTGGCGTCTGCTTTTGGCTGGGCCAGGGAGCTGCCTCTACTGCCTC